CATATCGGCTGTATGATGATGATGGGGTTAGAGCATTCGGAGATTACAGATGGAGAAGCAGTGGGTTTCTCTCCCTCCCTGGTCTTTCTTTTGATTAGAGTTCCTTGACCGTTGCAAAAGAGGCGTTGGAACCACTTTGTGCTTTACTTTACTGCTAGCCGTTGACGATGCTAACTAACCAACTAACTACTACGTACTGAATGGATGCACTGCATCACAGGCATTTATTCTGCCTTAACCCTTTCGGGCCCTGAATCAGGTTCTTAAAATTTTCATCACCCATGTTGAAACTGGAAGGGTGGAAAGAAAAGCTAGTTCTTGTCTTGCCTTTCTGTCTTTCTTTCTTTCTTTCCCCTTCTTTCTTTCTGCTTTTCTTTTTCTTGTACTTTTAATTTTTTTTTTCCCCTTTTGTTGTCTGGCCATGTGGCAGGTGGGGTTTCGTACGGGCTCACCCGCTGTAGCAGCATCGAGACCTAACCCTTGGCGTAACGGTTTTCTCCCCTTGGGTTTATTCTCGAGTTGGGAAAGGCGTCCGGTCAGATGTGGAACTCGACGGTACAGTGGATAGGGTTGCGAACTTTGTGAACCTGGCCGAAACAAGCCGCGTAGATGGTTGTGGTCGGGTTATCTAGTTGGTTCATACTCTGTAGTGGTTACGTTACGGTCTCACGAGTCACGAGTCATCAACACCACCACCACCGATCGGTGGACGTCCGGTAACTACGGGTAATCCGCCTAGGCACAGCCGGCGCTTGCACAAAATGAGTAACTCCAGGTGGTTCCGCCCACGGTTGTTAACCTGGTTTGTTCTTACAAACTTCTTGCTAATTTCTCTGGCCGGTGGATTCGGCCGGAAAAAGGTGACCTGATCAGGGCAATCAATAAAGTAAACTAAATCAAAAGAAGAAACTACTCAAGTAGAAAAGATAGCTATTTTCAATGCCCGAAGCACGCGGGTCGGATCCATCAGGAAACCGAGGAAAACTTTATCGGAGGACGAACTAACTACGTAACTAATGTTGTCAACACAGAGGGTTGAACAACCTGATGATGAACCGGGAGAGGGAGGGGAAGAAGAGCGAGTCCCTTCATCATTCACCATGCTGCTTGCTTCTGGTACTTCACTTTATTGGCATACTCTCAATCGTTTGTGAACTACCACAATTTGTACTCCGTACACGACTTAGGTATGGTATTTGGATCATGAAACGGTCCTTTTTAGAGCCTCTCACAAAGCGAGTTGATTTTTGATATGCGCTCGGGATAATTCGAGGAATAGCCCGCCCAGTGAAGGGAGACTGCTCCCGGGCGGCTCGGAGCTTCTAGGGTCGATGAGTATTGAGTGCGCGTACTAGTGAGTAGTTTCTTTGCCTTCTGAATCAGGACTGTATAGTGTAAATTACAACTCGCCCACAGACCCGCCCGGTCCGGTGCATGAAAATAAGTGGGGATCGAGCAGTTTCCTGCGAGGCAATTCGGTTCGGGTGTTCTGGTGAAAATGACTCGCATTGCCATCGCATCCATGCCGCAATGGCGATTGGCGACCAATCACCCTTACATGGCTGGCAAGCAAAGCTGTATCGAGCGCATCGATAATGCTGCCGGTAGTCAAGCAGCAGCCGCAGCCGCAGCAGCACCTTAACTACAGTAGTCGAGTCTCATCTTTTGAACATAGTAGCTGCTTTCCAAGAAGGGAATTGGGCAGGACTGACTGACTTTCCCCTATTCATGTTTGTCTCATCTCGCTAAAATGAAAAAGGTAGGCACCGACGGTCAGTTGTGGGCGGGCAAAGTTTAATCTGCGCCGACAGACAACAAACAAACCTGCAAGTACTCGTGGATGTAATCGGCAGCAACCTAGTAGTACTAAACTAAGTACCTAGTCTGTACGTACACACGTAAGTACGTAAGTATGCATGTACTGTAAAGTATATAGTGGCCACTCTGACCAGGGGTCTTCCTGCATTCCAACTTCCAAGCGACCGTCGTACCGGCCGATTACGGGCCTCAAAACTCTGGCAGTTTGCTGTCGATATGGGTCATGGCTAATGGCTTCAACGGTCTTGCACTAGTTAGCTCGGGAAAGGGTGCACGACATGATATTGATGCTGGCTAAACAAAAGAAGTAAGGTAGACATTCTAGTGACAGCCCTTAGGCCTACTTGACGCGCTTCTTACCTTCGTTCTAGGTCGCTGATTGATTGATTTACCCATGTCTTCTGCAGCTGAGGCCGTTTGCCCTGCTGTGAATTGTATCACTTAATTCCAACTTCCTAGTGTGTATGCAAGTACTCCGTACTTCCTGGCAGTTTGTACAGCCTTCTCTTTTCCTGCCAAGATATAGGTTAGAACACGTCGCTGCCCGTATAATCGACCCCCCCAAAATGGACTCAACTAATTGGCCGTCGAGGTACAGTAACAGCAGTTTGGTGGTCAATTGACGTGCAACTGCACTTGCGTAAGGAACCATTTTTGAAGTTAAGATTTGGTACTTAGTCAGCCTGCGTCCCCTTAACACAGTCACGATGCTACTGTCTCTTGACGCAAGCTTCCAGCCTTTACTTAGCCAGTATCATCGAGCCCCGAAGATTGTATGACGAATATTGTGGTCGTGTTGGCTCCGGTAGCCCCACGGAAGTCTTGCGACGAAGTTTGATTAAACACTCTGCCATTGGACGGTAACTTCAAGACATGCTAGGTTGATTCAGGAGGTAGCCAGACCCCAGTCAACTTTGCCTTCAATAGACAGGACAGTGCATCTAGCACCATTCAATTCCCCTGTACAATCAATTGGAGCCAACCTGATCACAGAAAGTTTATTGACCTTCCTTTCTCCATGCCTTCTGAGGAACATTATAACCATACAGATAGTCAAGCTTGTGAATCTGTGAATGAGAAATCGCATATAGGCGCCGGCAGCTTATGCTTCATTTCCTCGTGACTCATTCAGGCATTCGTCCAACATGCTCGAGTAACTGATCAATCATAACTTAGTTCGTTAAGTAAGTTAGCAAGTTAGTAAGTACTAAGTTAGCCATTTACTCGAGTATTACTGAGTAGTTAGAAAAAAAAAGATGACTAATCACATATTTTGTCAACTAACTACTTCATTAGTTCCGAGTCGGTGATTGTCCCCGGAATTCTTTCGCCCCGCTATCCCCTTGCAGCAGCGACAGCTCCAGTTTGCTTCTTAGTTCCAAAATCCGGTGAACTGTCTGGCAGAATGGTTTACTATTTCACATCAAATGTGGTTCAACCCGCAGCCTTTATCTATGTTGGAAAGGATAAATTCGAAAGTATGATGGTTTTCCTTTATTCAACAGATTGTGCTGTGCCGAGACTCTAATATTTGACTTGAACAGATGAGGACCTTATTAAATTTGGATTAGAGAGTGATGTCTGGTAATCTGACCTTGTGCTGTGATTATAAGAGAATGTGCACCAAGTGAGCTAATATCTTTTTGCGTCTCGGCTAGGGTTTGTCTCTCTTCGTCGCGCAGCAACCTAGCATCCGAAGACACCCTAACTCAGTCATTAGTTCCATGTGGATAACCTGTCTAGTGCCCATGTGTACCTTCGCCTCCGTGATGGAGAAACATGGGATCAGATTCCGCAGGCGCTTCTCGAAGATTGTGCCCAGCTAACGAAGGCGAATTCAATCGAAGGTCAGACATATTTCGTCAGGAACGGATACCGATGAGAATCCGCAAGATAATAAGCGGTGGAGACTAAACAACCTTATAGGGAATAGGAAGGACAACATCACAGTGATCTATACACCGTGGTCAAATTTGATGAAGGATGGATCCATGGCAGCTGGCCAAGTCTCTTTTCATAACCACAAACTAGTGCGCAAGGTTTTTGTCCGACAGCGAGAAAACCCTATCGTCAATCGCCTGAACAAAACCCGCATTGAAAAGTTCCCTGATCTTAAAGCCGAGAAAGATGAGTTCTTGAAAAAGAAGAACAAGGAGGAACGCAAAGTGAGAGAGGAGCAACGCATAAAGGAGAAATTGGAAAGAAGGGAACGCGACCAGTTGAAATGGCAAAAGGAGCATGCTTACGATGACCTCATGAGCGAGGAGAATATTCAAGGCAGCAGCAACCAAGACCGGGACGCTGACTTTTATGACGACTTCATGTGAAGCAGAAGGCATACAGTGGATTGTCATGTTGTCTCTCCAATGGCCGTCGTCGGCTTGTCGCATGCTATACTATCGACGAAACAACATAACTCAGTACTTTTCACGAAGCATCCATTTGAACTGCAACAACGGAAGTTGGTTACTGGGCCTTGTTCCGTGGTCGCGAAACTCCACATCAAATGGTTAGGAAGCGCATAGCCCAGAGCACGCATATTAACTCGTGTCTCAACTCGACCTGTCCCAGTGCCGGGGAGCTGGCTCTGAGAGTGGCTGGGAGCCGGCCACTGGCATATAGCCTGTCGCTATCCCACAACACAGCGCAGCAGATATGAAGTCCACCTAAAGGGTCATCATAGCGTGCTTATAAGCTGTGCATTGCATGTGAACTTAGTAGAATAAACTAGGCAGAATATTGAATTGAGTCTGAATACACAGGTGATGCAGTATACAAAGAGAGTGAAACTCCTTTTTAGCCCCTTCGCGGTGCCGGCTCATACTGTTGGGTGTGGTAATTCGGCGTAACTAAGCGAGAGCTGCGGACTGCGGAAGCAGCCTCCCTGCGCTAGCGATGTTGACAGCTATGGTCGGTCCCTCACCATAGTACTCCTGTACAACAAGTTCAATGACCATAACACCAGCTTCGATATAACCGCGCCTCAGTCACGTCGGTACTCAAAAAAGTGAAGATGCCTGAAGGTTCGTCTTCAATTGTGCAGATTCGTAATTCTTCTAGCCTATCCCGTTGTTTCCGCTGATACTTCCCAACAGGCGCAAAGTCAAAGAATAAGAAGAAAGCCAAGGGTACCACCGGCCCCAGGGGGATTGAGAGCAAGACCTCAAACGAAAACCAAGGCAATGATCAGGACCGAGCCCCGGAGGACACTGAGGCACCCGCGCAACCGAGCGTAAGGGCACCCCCGTTTACCCCTTCACACCGAATGCCCACCTGAGCTGATTATGTGACGGAACAGGAGAGCGACAACAATAAGGTTGATACCACCGAGGGTTCAGCGGCTAAAGAGAGCGCGAAGAGAGATAAACCAACCGGAGATTCATCGACTGAGACGACTGACGATCGGACATTTATTGCGACCAGCCATCCGACTAACCCTACAGGCCATGGGAGCAATCCCACCAGCTCCGAGGCTCTCCAGTCCAACGACCGGTTTGATGCCCTCGTTCGGGATCGGGATACCTTGCGGGCGGAAGTGGCAGACATGCGCAAGTCATTGGAGGAAATCCAGTCGAAACACCACGCGGAGATGAAAGCTCTACAGGGGAGGCTAGATGACGCCGAAAACAAGAAAGAACATGCAGAGTCGCAGTTCCAGAAGCTCCTGGAAAGAGTGAATACAATCAAGTCTCAACTTGGCGAGAGATTGAGGGAAGATGCTGTATGTCTTCGGCACTTGCATTCCTATGCTATCCCCAAGCATACTAACTCATAACAGGAAGAGCTTGCACAGGCTAGATCGAAAATTGATGAATTGGAGGAGGAAAACACAAGCATCAAGGATCAATACCAAGCGAAGTGTGGCGAGCTCGAGCAGTTGTCGGAAGACAGAAGGAACATGTCACAGGAGCTTTCGACCTTGCGAGATCGTACAAATCTGTCCCAGCAAAATTGGTTGAAAGAGAAGGAGGAGCTCCTAGAACAAGAGAACTATCTTCAGTCAGAGTTCGAGCAAGCCAAAGAGGCCATGCACAACTGGGAAGTCCTTGCTATGGAGGAGCGGTCCATTAGGGAAACCCTTGAAGTGAAGGTGGTAGATCTCGAGGAACAGCTAGCAAGCGTCAAAGATGCCTACGAGAAAGCATCTACGGAACGTGACTCTCAAGTGGCTGCAGTTGACGGACTACAGCGAGCTTTGCAGGAAATCCAAACCGGTGAGACTAGCCCCTATCTCTAACATGCTTCTCCTGAATTACCACCAATGTTTTGTAGCGCGCAAACAGGAACTTCGTGAGCTCGTGGAGAACTCCGACGCCCAGCTTGAGGAGCTGAAGCAGAGTCTTCAAGAGGCAACGAAGAAAGCCCTCGACGCCGAGAAATCTCTTCAAGATGCTCAGGGCGAGCTCGAACGAGTTCGGCCATTCGAGAAGGAAGTCAAAGAAAAGAACCTCTTGATAGGGAAGCTCAGGCACGAAGCGGTGACACTCAACGACCATCTGACGAAAGCTCTGCGCTTCCTCAAGAAAGGGAAGCCGGAAGACAACGTCGACAGGTGCGTTTTCTGCGCTATGACTGTGGTCCTTGGCTGGCCGTATGAAGGATTGCCTGTTGATTAACTATTCCTAGACATATCGTAACGAATCACCTCCTGCATTTTCTTGCTCTTGATCGGTCAGATCCCAAGAAGTTCCAGATCTTGCAACTCATTGCCGCGCTCCTCGGCTGGACAGATGGTTAGTCAGCCATTCTTCTTTTGTGATCTTACCATACTCGTGGTCACTAACGAATTGAATAGAGCAGCGTGAGCAGGCTGGTCTGGCGCGTCCAGGAACATCGAGCATTTCTGGGAAGTTGAGACTTCCAAGCACACCCATGCATCGTACGCCAAGCAGCCAAACCTTGGCCTCGGAATTTCTTGACAATGGAAACGCGAGCAAAGAATCATTGGCGGAGTTGTGGTCCAACTTCTTGGAGCAGGAGTCACAGAATGCGGAAATGGCACATCCAAAGCCGTGAGGCTAGTTCCGCATTCATTCGAGACCAACAGTCTGTGGCCTTTCGGATTGAATTACTACTTCTGTGAATAACATCTGGGCCTCTACTCGCATTCCTCCTCTTGCTGTAATTGTATGCGTGATAGTATGAGATAAGCTATGTCATGAGGCTGTCCGTTTGCGACATACGGCACATGCGCCTTCGGTTCACCGCCTCATATTCTGCCGCATCTATTTTGTTGAAGTGTCAATTCAACGCCGACCAGAGTCTTGCATACCATGAATAGCTTAGCAACACCACGAGTACAACTTTTCTCAAAGTCTAATCATTTCTCGCGGAGATACCCCTATTGCATCTCAAGAATGGCTTCTAGCGCCGGTGAGCTTCTCCCTTCTCACAAGGGCGAGTGGAATCTTAATTGACCGCGCGCGCAGTGCACAAATTCCGCCCAGTTGTGGTCTCAGGACCGTCAGGAACCGGGAAGTCGACTCTCCTGAAGAGGCTCTTTGCCGACTATCCGAACACCTTCGGCTTCTCAATCTCGCGTATGTCCTTCGGTGCCCCCTCCCGGCTCTTACCCAGCCTAAGATTGTGGCCGGACATTCCCCCGCAACCACGCACCCACACACTCTCCAAACCGCAAAGGCATAGATTTCTGATGGCATGCCTCCTTAGATACCACGCGGAGCCCTCGTGCGGGTGAGCAAGACGGTCGCGAATACTGTTTCACGACAAAGGAAGACTTTCTCGACTTGGTCAGCAAGAACGGCTTCATTGAACATGCGCAATTTGGAGGCAATTACTATGGTACTAGTGTCCAAGCTGTGAAGAACATCGCCGAGCAGGGTAGGATTTGCATTCTTGATATCGAGATGGAAGTATGTTGCTGCTTCTTCTGTTCATCTGATTGTGTTCACTTCAGAAAATGCCTCGCTAACAGCTCATTTTCCTTTTAACTCCAGGGTGTGAAGCAGGTTAAGCGCACGGATCTCAATGCGCGCTTTTTGTTCCTGGCCCCTCCCTCGGTGGAGGAGTTGGAGAGGAGACTGCGTGGAAGAAACACTGAGACAGAAGAAAGCCTGAAGAAACGTCTTGCGCAGGCTAAAAATGAGCTCGAATACGCCAAGGAGCCGGGTGCTCATGATAAAGTCGTCGTCAATGATGACCTTGAGAAAGCTTATGCTGAGTTGAGGGACTTCATTGTCGACGGCGATAAATTCGGCGCCCAGCAATAGTGTGAGACCCTCATTTACGCTGTATCTTATAGACGCACATAACGACTTCAATACTTGTCTGCTCATTGTTATTAATTTAGCTCAGAACCACCGGAATTTTTACATTGCCTTCCGACCTTCTGCATGAAGCGATCCTACAATCATTCGTCTCACTGGAGCCAAGATAAATAAATACATGAAACGACGATACGATCGATGTTTAGCGCTTCGTTGCTAGCTTTCAGTTGATCTGCGACGAAAAGTCCATAGAAAATCACGAGGTAGTTAGGTCACTTCCTCACAAATAGAATTGTTCAAGTGACGACGGGTACGATCAAGGAATTATAAAGTTAAACAGGATATCTGTAGAAGCATGCCGAGACGAAGTTGGTGCTATGAGATTAAAACATTAAGGAAAGAAAAGGAAGAAAGTGACCCTGATTGGGCTCACTGCCCATGTTTCATCCACGCAAAGAAGCAAGGGCAAGCGAAATGCTCAGACATATCAATAGCCATTCATCGTCATGCGTTGCGAGTTACGGCTAAGCTCCCTGTCGGCCGAAGGACTAATGGGCCGGCTGCTACCAGGATGGCCGCCAGCAGCACTGCTCTCCTTGAGTGCCAGAAGTTGCTTAGCACGGAATGTCTCGTAGTGAATCTGGCTTGTCGTCTCGATAAGGTCCTGAAGATGGGTGCGGGTAAGGAAGTTTCGGAGATAGACGAATTCGCAGTGATTCTCATCCTCCACGTTGATGACACCCCAGCGGTTTTGGCGGCCGCGAACTTGCTGGCCATTGACGACGATCGTTCTTTCGCTACCAACTACAGCGAATGGAATGATGTCCTACACGAACGTTAGAACGGGAGGCGCCATGAGACCCGAGGCGGTTACTGACCTTGATTTGAGCATTGACTGCACGCTCTTCGTCATCAAGCTCATCGTTGTCATAGGGGTACATTTTCAGATTGTGGAAGGCGAACTCCTCCTTGATTCTTTCCTTGAACGCCTGGCGTTCCTCGAGAGTAAGCGAGTCGGCTTTAGCGATGACGGGAACCACGTTGACCACGTCAGAGAGCTTCTTTAGGACGACAATGTCGATGGGCTTGAGACTAGTTGGTACTCCATCAGTTTCTGTAAGATCAAGCCTAAGGTCACTATACTCACGCATGGCCAGATGGCTGGATGAAGAACAAGCAGCAGTGGATGCGGGTGTCTTGAATATAGCGGTCACGTTGAGCAGTAAGCTCCTTTCGGAGATATGCGGAGTGTTGATCCTTGATGTACTTCACAATAGGATCCCAGCTGATCACAACATTTGTTAGTTCGGCTTTCGTGGCTGAAATTTCTCGGTTGCTTTACCATCTGTCATTGTTGACCTGATCGCCGTAGCCCGGGGTGTCGACGATGTTTAGCCTGAGACGCACGCCATTCTCCTCAATGACTTGGGAAACCGATCATTAGTCTTATGGTCGGGCTTATTAGCGAAAAATGAGGAACATACTGTGCGAGACAGTTTGGATTTCGGTTGTTGAACGAACGGGTTCGTTAGGGGCCAGGCGACCTTTGGAGTCGATCAGGTGAGAAGCGAAGATAGTGTTGATCAAGGTCGACTTTCCCAGGCCGGTTTGTCCTATTCATATATATCAATGCCAGTCGTATGCCAGGATTGAGACTATGCTCAGACGTGCTGCAACTCACCGACGCACATCACATTGAACTGAAATCCACGCTTCAACAGCTTTCGCTCAATCTGAGAAGTGATACTATCGAAACCGACATGACTACGAGGAAAGACCGACGCAGGGGTGGAATTCGCCGCGGCAGCCATGGTGCTGGAAGAGAGAGAGAAGATGGAGAAGGAGGGGATGTGGAGAATGGGCTGATAGTGGTCGTAGATAGTAGATTGGTATCTAGATAGTAGGAGTAGCAACCTCCAACAAAGTGTCGGTGGGGGAGGGGAAGGGAGAAGCAGTGGGCGAGTCCAAGGTTAAAACTAGAGACGAACAGCAATCCTTCAACGAAAGGCCAAGGCAGGAGGAGTGAGTTCGAGGAAGGAACAAGACTGATGAAGCAAACAAGCGAGAGAGAGAGAGAGGGAGGGAAAGACGGACTGATGCAGTGGATGCATTCCCCTTAAGTTGTTCCCTTTGGATTGCCGTTGTTGTCGCGACTCAGGGGGAGACCGCTAGTCCAGAATCAGATTAGCGGCTCTCCAGACCCCAATCGGGCCATTCGCCGCCAATCTGAAGCTTCAATTGAAGATTTATTTGTTTCCGCATTGAATCCGCTTGCCTATCAGTCCTGACGCTGCCCCCGTCCTGTGTGCTCCTTCACAACCCCCTCATCCAGATCGTCCTCAGCGTCCCAATGTCCTTGCGACTGTTTCCCTCCCGTCTATCCGCCCAGGGGCTGTCCCCGGCCGGTTCACTTTCGACGGCTCTCGCCAACGCCGCAGTCGGACGCTGGCCCCAATTCACACTCAATGCCTCCGCCGTGTCGCAGTCTCTCTTGAGACCGGCCGCATTCACGCTCAAAATCCCTGGACTCTTGTCTGATATCTGGGAATCCGTTCTCCGCGCCGTCCCGAAGAAGAAGACCTCCCATATGAAGAAACGTCATAGGCAGATGGCCGGCAAAGCATTGAAAGATGTCAAGAGTCTTAGCACCTGTTCGGGGTGTGGTCAAATCAAGCGCTCACATGTGCTGTGCCCGAATTGTGTTGCTAGTAAGTGTGACTACCTTAAAAAGTGACTTGGGAGCCCATCTCATCAGTTAATTCCATCGTCAGGTATTAAGAAGCAATGGGGTCGCAAAAATACCGAATGAAGCGAACAGACGAGGTGGCTCGAAGTGATGATAGATGCTTGAATTATGTTTGGCTGGGATTGTATAATATCGGGTCCATATGATGTGTAGGATAAAATGCTGCATGGCATTCGGCGTTTGGTCCAACTAAGGGTTCATGTTCTATTCCACTTTTTGTTTCTTTTAAATTTCCATCATCTTCATGTCATTGTGTACCTTACGGATCGTATTGTTTATGTCCTTAAATTCGTTGGAACCATTTGAAATAGGAATTGGTGGTGGTAAAAAGACTTGATGTTCCGTGCGTTTACCCGCGATTCATGATCTCATCCAGCCGCCTCGAGATTGTCCCGCCATGGTCATGATTTAGCCTTACTTGTTATGTCTTTGACAGCACCCAGCTCCTGCAGCTAGCGACCACATTACCTCGACCCGCTCGTATCATTCTGCGTCTGTCAAGAATCAATGTCTTGAGCTGACTCGGAGCTGTCATGGTAATGTGTATACCAGAGACTGTCGTTTGTTCGCCGCTTTTATTCTAACTCCAAACCTGGCGGCTCTAGTCGAAGCAATATCTTTCCTGCGGTTCCGCAGGCAATGGTTCGTATGACCAAGTGGAAACTACCATTTACTCCCAGACTCATGCTAAATGTCAAGCGTAGCACACCCTACTGACATTTACGGACTCGCCGTGACCGATAAGTTCTGCTTATCGGCATCTGGCTCCTCTTCGTTGAAAGTCCATTCGACGGTTGACCCTGACTTCCCACTGGTCCAATCCCTTGATGATGCCCATAAACTTGGCTGTCATCATGTAGTGACCAACGCGAAAGGACTACGGGCAGCTAGCATTGGGTTCGGGGGTGAGATCGCGATATGGTCCTGCCACGACGGCGTATGGGCGAAGGATAGCATCGCTTCAGGTAGGTGATTCCCTTTGTCTGTCTGGGCCAGGCTATTCAAAGAGCTATACTGATCTGGTCTCAGTCAATCAGACTGGGTCTGCAGGCATCTGGGCAATCGCCATGTCTGAGGACGGGCAATACCTTGCTGGTGTCAGCCAAGATGGGCACGTCAAGGTCTGGGACCTGAATGCCAGTGGTGAAGAGATTCGAGACTACGAAACGAAAGGCAGCTTCGGTACCTGCATAGATCTGGTAAATTGCGAAATTCACCCATTCTTTCGTCAATTGAAGCTCATACGAGGCTGTAGTCCGCGGATGGTCGATTCCTTGCTAGCGGGCATGAGAATGGTAGTGTCTACATCTTCAGCACTGAAACAGGCCGCATGCCATTCAGTTTATCAGGTGAAGGATTGACTCGCTACTATCTCTGCAAATCGCAAGTGCTCTGACTATCTATCTCGTTTGCAAATACTAGGTCTTGTGAAACCCGTTAGAGCGGTTGCTTTCTCACCAGGAGGGAAGTTCCTTGCTGCCGCCGGAGATTCACAGGTGATTGTGTTATATGACACATCATCTGGTGAACCGGTAGCCAATCTATCGGGTCATACAGCATGGGTTATGTCTCTTTCATGGAGCAATACAGGAGAATACCTTCTCAGCGGGTAAGAACACCTGCGGTACACGCGCGCCTTCTAGTAGTGATCCTGACAGTCAATAGCTCTTTTGATGGCAAAGTCAAGGTTTGGTCAATCGACACTAGAGCGTGTGTAGCCACTCATTCTGAGACCGAGAAATCCATATGGAGTGTGAGATGGCTGCCGAAGGTCGGGCGGTCGGAAGGCTTCGCCACGGCCGGGGCGAGTCGAAGCATATCATTCTACCGCGAGGCTACAGGTGGTTGATCTGGTCTCGCGTGTATGACAGCTTTGACGGAGGCTGATTGAGGAGTTCAGGCCAAGGGCGGAATGTTATCTATTACCTTTCTGCCGCAGACCCCCCCCCTCTTTTGTCTCTTGCCTAGGTTCAGGTGCGATGTGGCTACGCTGGGGTTTCTTACGCATATGGCTTGTATTCCGGCAAAATCATTGAGGTGGTATCCATAAGCATGTATCATCAAGCATTTCTGTCCGTCCAACTTAACTCGCTATTTCATTGTTTCGACAAACAATTTCCGCATCCTCTTGAGAAACCCACCAAAATCGCGATCTTCATTTACAATGTCGAGTTCGCGCTCCAGCGCCTCCCGATCAACCTTGGGTCGCGTGTGAAAGACATCATAATCCCGACTGGCCGTTCCAAGCTCGAACCAAGCCTCGGCCTCCCAGTCTTTCTCGAGTAAATGTGTGTAAACAAACTTCAGCCTATCTTCCCGGCCGGCTCCCTCGATTCGTAAACACAGATAATCTTGCCAAAAGTCAAGCTCCGGAACATTGAGCCGAGCCTGCTCATCGAGGTATTTGGCGTGCAATCTCTGCGCTTCTAATCTCTGATTGATCATTTTCTGAGTCTCGTCGATTTGCTGCTTCAAGCGATCACGCTTAGCGAGCCGCGAGTCGCGCTCCAAGGTGACAGATGAGATGGCCGCATGCATCTCAGCGGCCTCCGCGGCCTCCTTTTGCAGAGTCTGTTGATGGGTTTGTGCTTTCAAATCGAGAATCTCGATATCTCTGTGTCTCATGCGCTGATCCTCTGGACGCCGCGGTGTTAGCGGAAGGCAAATCACGTCCTAACGCGTCCGACTGCTGTGCTTGCTTACCCTGAAGCTCTGCCAACCCGCTTTTAAACTGATTCCTCTCTTCTAGAACTTTTTTCCGGCCGCGCTCGATAAAGGCATCAAAATGAGCTGTGAATTGAGCCATGCGGTTGCGTAGGTCCTCAAAACCAAAGTTGATGCTGGGCAAGGAGTCGGCCATCGACGGCGCATCAGCCGACGCGAGAGGCGGGCGCATGCCACTCGTCGAGAGTGAGGGATCAAATGCATTATTCATTGTGAGTCTAAATATTAGTGAGCTAGAGATGAGCCGATTGCTGATTAAGGCGTGAAATGGGAAAAGCTGGTTGTTTTCTTTGCGGCTTCCATGGACGGACGCTAGTAGACTAATTGAGTAAATGACTGTAAACCCGTCGTACCTGTTGCGGCGCAACCCCCGGGTCAAAAGCTTGGCGTCGATGGATCTAGTATATTTTTTTCGCCATCCGGTCCTGGCCTGTCTAGACCGAATTATTTTATGCAGCTACAAGAGAAAGACACTTTATTGTCACGTTTGCATGGGTTCTGGCTTGCTGGCTGCTCAGAGCCGCTTCAGTTCAGTGCCCTGCCCGAGACTCTGTCTTCCATCCCAATCCTATTAACACATTGGGTTCGGTGCTCGATATGCTCACGACTACCCAGCTTCAGGTAGAGCATATTGCCCGGAGCAAGAACAGACCCAATGGATGAACAACCTCTAGGTGCTCTACAGTATGGGCACTTGGGACGACCGACATATAATCCCGAAACCCAGACTTGGCTGTTTCCACGAACATTGGCCTCAAGTAAGCTGCCTGAGCCAAAAGAAATGCCTTCGCTGGCAAGACTGACCTCCTCCGTTCGAAGATCTTCCCCTGAAGTATGCCGGGGTTAACAAACATACCGTCAAATCCCCTTCGACTGCATCTCAGACATCGCTGATCGAGAACAAGGGCCTCCTGCCTCAGGTCTATCCGGAGCTTGCGGCCTGTTGGCCTCTTGCGTCGGACGAAAATACCTCGCATATCATCACGACAGCTAGCGAAATATGCGATCCCTCGGTTTCGGCCCTTCTGGATTTCGGTTACGCCGTAGATTTGGAGAATGGCGAGTCGGGGACCCGCGGGGTACCAATCGCGGTCATTGCATCAGGAGAGTGCGGGAATGTTGTGTCCTTTCGCAAACTCGAAGAGGATGCGATTGAGTTGAGACAAGAAGCAACAGCCAGAGCGCGCGTGCCCTCTATCGGAGATATCGAAAAAGCCGACTGGTTCGTGGGAGGTGCAGCCATTCGGCAGATCTGTTTCGCTCGAACAGTGGAAGAGCAGGCGACATGGATAGCAGTTCGTTCACCTCAATTCACGGTTATCTTCAGACCGCAGTATCACAGGAATCCCGTTCCTACACCAGTTGCTCGACTAAGTGATTATACATTGTCGAATGAATGCCGCATGTCTCGCCTTGATGCCAACATGGTGGTCGAAATTTCGACCTCGCAAACTGGGGGGTTTGCACATGCAGACGTGACCTTCAATCCTTGGTATCAGAAACAACTTGGCATTGTTGATGTGCGAGGCAGATGGAGTGTATGGGACGTGTCTGGTCGCTACAATAAGAATAAAAGTAGTTGGATGACTACATGCGTTAGAAATGGTTCATTGCCATGGCTCGATATCGATGAGGGTCAGGGCGATGACCGCCCCCGTCATGATGGATGGGCGGCTATTGAATGGGTGGGAGATGTTAACAGCTTTATTGTATGTGACCGGCGCTGCCCGATGTTATATCGGACGCGAGACGGTCAGGTATACCCATACTCCATTGAGCTCGGCTTGAAGAGGAAGTCTGAATGGATATTAGACGTCAAACGAAGCGCCAGCAACGTCTCACATGTCTTCATCCTGACAACATCTCGGATCTTCTGGCTGGCTCTTGCGCCCGAATCTGGCTCAGAAACTAGCGATTCACGACCTGCAGTATTCCCTCAAATGTCATGGCGTCATTTTCGGGATCCCGAAGACACGACAATGCGGCTTGATCCTTTTCTTATACATGAAGGTAGAGCTCGCCAGCATAGCAGTCCATATGTAAGCTTGACAAATGCTGACAGCTGCTTAACAGATTTTTATCTCATCCTCTACTCACAACTGAATCCTTTTACACTCGTCTTCCCCTGTTCTTATGTACGCGATACCGAAGCAGAGACATTAACTTTACACGACCCATCGATGTTAGACATCCCACCGTCTGATATCCCTTCAGAATACCAGCTATCACCCAACAGTACCCAGTTTTCCACGCTTGTAATGAGAGAAACCAGTCACCTCTCATTGCCAGTCCGCAACAAATCTCACGACTGCAGAGCCAGCATTTTGAAGCTTTTCGCATTAGACTCGCATCTCTCTGTACATGAATCAGTCTATGTCGGATTTGCCCGTAACAGTGCCGCAGTCGGGGACTCACTACCCATAGATGTCTTGAAGGCTAAAAAGCGAGCTCCAGGGATGTCACGGACTCGGTCAACTACCTTCCACGATGACTTCATAACGCACGATTGGGACGAGACGGCTTCGCGAAGTGGCGTCTTGACCTTAGATGCTGCAATGTCCAGTATCACACCACTTGCTTTTCCGCAGTGGACGCTTGATTATACTCAGATCTACGCCGTGGTAACTGGCAGGTTGGGGCTGGGATCGAGCAGGAAGGGCGCTGACAAACGTATCGGCGATAGCCTCAATAATATGGTCCAACAGCTAGACAGGCTACTTGCAGATGCCGAGGCTAGTGACAGGTTCAAAAATCAGACAGGGTGAGTTTGCTTCTCGAGATTTGCTCTCATCAAACCCGCCCCTGCACGATTCTAATGTTTTCGCAGGCTTGAGCTCCTTGGTAGCGGCCTAGCCTTGGATAATCTTGATCAAAATGCCCAAGAATGGACTTCTTTCTGGTCACGCACTGCCCACGGCCGCTCAGGTCTTCTCAACTACGTCTATACCACGATTCAAGCCTCTAGTACCTTCAGTACGATTACTTCTCAATCCTCTACAAAGGCCGATTTGATCCAACCACTTAGTCCTTTAACACTATATGATGAATTGGTGAACGAATGGCTTGGTTATCTACCTCACGATATACCCGGGCGCACAAGGATCATGAAAGAACAAATCATCCGAGGCGTGGTAGCCGATCTAATCCTAGCACAATTCAGCATCCGAGGCGGGATAGGACATGGTTCCAGGGATTCTGAACGAGCAGATTCTGTAGTTCCATCTTCGTCTGCGGCAATACTAAATGAGAATGAGGAGAGCCTATCCGCTGCTTTGCCTGGGGAGGACAACAAGAGTGCACCCAGCAGTAGCAGGACGAGCAGGAAGAATCGAGAGCCAGACGTGAATGAGCCTGAACCGCAAGCGAATATATGGCCAGTGTACTCTAGTCTATCGGCTTTTACCAGCTTCAAGAGCGATCAGGTATTGAATTCCGGCACAGCAAGCATGCTACAACACTGGAGACCTGGAGTCAACCCCGCCGACTATAGCTGGCAAAGGCATGTAGCAGGGGCTCAGGGCATGACGGCCACTACTCCCAAGCGGCGGCATTCACGGAGAAGGACGACACCGTTGCATGGAAGTCAACAAGCTGGCTCGACTCCTCTTCCCATTCCTATCGTCCCAGCCGACACTACTCGGACTTGGGGAAGCCAGCCGGAACACCTTGAGCCGCCCAGTCTCCAATTGCACAGCAGTCAGATGGCGGACCAGAATGTCTCAATGACACAAATCGAGCGCGGCATGTTTGGTGGTCGAGAGGCGGGGCGGAGAACCGTGGCGAAGGCGAGGAAGAAGAAGCGGGCGGCGGGCTTCTAGGGAATGATGAAGCTGTCATCTGCGAATTTATCATCTCATGTAACTTACATATTATAGTTAATTCTGACTCAGGCACGGTATTTGCCAGGATTATTAATCCCACCGAGCATACGGTAGGATGAGCGATTATTGCGTTTCTCTCTTCCTGTATGCTCAGCCCCACCAGTAGATAAACAGACAGACCGAGAGGATAGAAATAGAGGTTGCTCGCCAGGTCAATAGTCGTTGGTCTACGGAATACGTATGCTGTCACCTCATAAACAAAGACAAAAGCAAAAGAAAAATCGTGGGTAAGAACGTCTCTTCTCTCCCTCTCTTTCCCCCTTTCCGACTATTTTCTACCCAGTGAGCTGTCAACTTGGAGCAAGTTTTAGGTACAATTATCCCATAGCTAGCAATTATTTTGTGTTTTGCCCCACCAGGCGTTGAACCCCCCTCCCTCCCTTGCGTCTCCAGCCTATAGCCCCGCCATCATTCTTTATCATTATTGACAAACAGCCCGTCGCAAATTCCGGTCCCCCCTCCCCCTCTTCCCTCGAGACTAACTCAGACACACAGATCTCGACAAGCTGAGAACTTCCGCTGATTCTCTTCTGTAGACCGAAGAATACAGAAAGAAAAGAAAAAAAAAAGAGAACCAAAAACTAGAAACTCTGACCGCCACTCTTTCCTTCTTGCCATTCGCGATAGCGTTCCCTCCCCCTCCCTCCACCTGTCAACATGTCCGACCACCAGTACAAATTCGACGTCACCATGAGCTGCGGTGGTTGCTCCGGAGCCGTGGAACGAGTCCTAAAGAAGCTTGATGGTATGTCTATTTGCCCACCCAAAATACCATTTTCCAATAATTTGGTCTGGCCTGGTCTGGTTTGGGGTTGTTTTATGTCTCCTGGAAAATCCCGCCCGAAATAATGTGCTTCTCCCCCTCGCAATTCATTAACTTGGAGGGAATCTTTAGGGGTCAAGTCCTTCGATGTGAGCCTGGAATCGCAAACTGCAACGGTTGTGACCGACTCCTCCGTGTCATATGAGACTGTGTTGGCGACGATCAAGAAAACTGGAAAGACAGTTACCGGTGGGAGTGCGGATGGGCAACCCCAGAGTTTTTGAATGTCTCGGGCGTGAAGAAGACCACTGGAGCTTGATGAATTGGGTGCGATTGTCGAGGATGGATTCAATAGGAGCTGTACTGAGTGATTTTCATATTTACCCTTACTTCTGGAAAACGATATGTATGTCTTCCATCACGCATGTTCAAATCACCTTTCGTGGAGATCTGGAACAAGCCTTTTGTTCAAATATTGTCTTCTACACTGATAGCATCGAGGAGGATAGTATCTTTCTTGGCTCATAGCTTCATGTGTTACAGCATTGGGTATCATGTACGCTCCACTTGTAAAATATGTATGTACTGTACATCACCATAGACATTTACACTGCGACCGGAATGAACAAAATTGATACCGACCCCTCACATGAGCAACAATATCAATCCACGGTAACGATGGTTCTGCCCTCTGAAACCGGAGGACGAGGACGTTCAGACTCTCTTACATAAGTAGGACACGATGGTTCATTGGTATGTGGGCCGTAGCGTGGAGGCTCGAGTAGTTCCCTGCTACAAGTGTCAGTTAGCTTGTGACGACTGAGAGGCTGTGATGAAGCCAGGCGATTCATATTCACTATCCATACCGTGAAAGCACCGATACCTCCCCGTAATGTCTGTCAGTGTAACGGTTTGCGGCTTTTGAGGTATCATGCGTCTCATGATAGCGCTGACTCGCGTCATCCACTACGCCATACCTCTGAATAGCGGATCTTGACCATGGATCCGCATGGGTGCGGTCCGGAAGGGGTCTTGATTCCGGTCCAGCCTGCTGATTGACTTGTTTACTACCGTAGACAAGATCAACCCTATCCGGGCCGGGACGGGTGTAGTTTGTCTGAAGACGACGCTCCAGTGGATAATCCAATGGATCAGAATTACTCAGGTCAATGGCACGAACAAAGTCATCGGCATAATGACCTTTTCTCTGAGGTTGCTCTTGTGGAGCAAGAGCATATCCCTGATTTCTGCCACTCCATGTAGTTGACTGTATCGGTTCCACCTCGGGTAGCCTCAAGCGATCATCATCGTGCTTGGGCACCTGCGAATCATGATTATTTCTCACCATGCCAACGGCTTGAACGGGTATCAGCCCTCCCTTGCTTCTATCCTCGACAAATGCATACCGTAAGGTTGGCACAACACGAGGTTCAACGGGAGGCCTGTAATGAGTGGGTCTCTCACGGTCAAGTATATCAAATGTGGCATTATCATGCTTGCGAGACATTTGATGCGGGAAAACCTCATCCCCAAGCCTAACACGGGTGGTATAGGATGGATATGGGTGTTCCTCGGGCTGACGATCAGTAGTATGGACATATCCAAACGGGGCTGCATAATGCCTACGGACAGAAGGGTCTTCTTGAACTGGAAGTCGTGCCGGAGGAACATATGCAGAGGAAGCCAACTGTTCCCCTAGACGAGCACTTCTCACAGGAGCAGAAGGAAGACTAGGGCGGATATTTTCTGTTTGTATCGGCTGATAATAGAATGCAGTTCGTCTGCGCTTTGCTGTCTGATATTGTGTAGTCTCATCAATATCTCGACGGAGAACGTCCTGGGGAGGTAGATGAGCGGGAGTTACAGAGCGGATTGCGAACCCTCCGGACATCCTCGTGGCAAGGTTCTCCACGGGGCCACAATTGGATCGTCCTAGTTCCGCGGGAAAGGGGTTCTCTATAGAAGGCAAGGCGTGATCCTCAGGGTGGGAGATTGTCCTGCTGTGGCCATGTTCCAGAGGTTTCTGCTGCTGTCCAACTGGGTGTCCGGATACGTTTCTATGGCTACTCACAAAAATAGGGCCGTTTGGTGACTCCTGGCGAGGGATAATCCGGCTTTCTCCATGAGAAGGGCGCACTCGCTCCAAGGGAAGCCCACTGAGCTGTGATGAAAATGTCTTTACCTGGTACGGTCTTCCAATTGCATGAAGCAATGCATACGGCTCGTTATTATTAGCATGAAGTCTACAAAAAGTCGTCCCGAGAGAATGATTTGTGGGATTGGGATTGTCAGGGGCAAACTCACTTGATGCTCCATTGCAGGATTTGCGTATGCCCTCTTCGGTGCAGTGCTGAGTGTCTCCACATTAGTTGTAACCTGGGATGGAACAGAGAATGTGCGCCTATCCTCGAGAGGGAAGAAGAGTGAGTCTGAGCCAGAGTCGGCCGTATCTTGCAAGGGCCGTCGAGCGACCAATGGTCGTCGAGGTCGAGGTGAGTTACCAGGCGGTCTGCGTGGATTATCCCCTTCCGCTATGTTTCTATATCTGTTAATGGCACGGTCCCATGCTTGGTATCGGCTGAATCCACGACGATCAAGCTTGTTATTCTTAGGAATCTCCGGGACAAAACGACATCCGGGCGGTGCTTCCTCGTCTGATATATCCAGCTGGGTGTCTCGTAAGCTAGAGCCGGCATAAGTGACCGGGTTTGTCTGTAGTTCTTCGGCACGCGGGTTGCTAGAGACAACCACCACACTTTGGTCACGGTCGAAGGGCTGTATTAGCTCCTCCTCAGTGTCACTGTCTTCGTCATCAGATATCACAATGACCTCACGGAAAACGTCCTCAAGGACGATCTTTCCATTCTCATCATCACCCCGCCATTCGACCAACTTGGCCAAGGTAGGCTCTTCAACCGTGCTTCTCGCCTCGTGGAAGGATGTTGCTTTCAACAAACGATCGTATTCCGTGTAAACGTGACGTATGTGGGCCACAACTGCGAGCTGAGCGCGGCGGGCCAGGGGTAACTCAACTGCTGTGCCTACTTTGCGCTGACCCTGGAAATAGTTTCAGTATCTTGTGTCCAACACTTTTTTGCGGTCCTGTTGTGGGTTCAAAGGTCTGTTTGCGAATGTTATCCACCTACCTTCTGGAAAGCAGTTTTAATGATTTGATTCAGGTCATTGTCTGGAATATTAGGGAAGAGATCCTTGATTACATCCCTCGCTTCGGTGTTGATTGTCGTCTGAGAAGCTTCTGAATTAGCACGTTTGCGGGATTTGGTAATGGCAGAAGTCGGAAATTGCATTGTTTTCCCTGCTGTTGTAAGGTGGAGTCCCAGGTCCATACAGACTGTTGCGACAACCGCGCTGGGAAAGTGATAACCTATCCGGTGAACATGCTGGGATAGGTTGTGTGTGTGCATATGCGGTGTTGTCTATGACCCAAGATTAGTAAAAAGAAGCCGAGCCGTGGGAAACGAGAAAGTTGAGTAAAGGAGATGGCTGTCGGGCATACTGAAACAGCAAACACCTTCAAACTGTCCTTCCGACAGACTTCCTTACACGCAGTCGTAAGCTGAGGGTTGCCTGCAGGAATGAAGGTATAACCAGGAGGAGCTTTTGCTTCGAAAGATATCTAGGTTGTTTGTGTCAAGATTGCCCCGAGAGATATGAGCAAGGCGAAAGAACATACGACACTGCGAAGTTTCTTCTTCTCCTGCGTAACAGATTCCAGAATCACTTTATGTTTGCGTGCCGTCTTCTTGACATTTCTGCTTGGCGCACGTCTGGCGAAGACCGAGGTGGCTCTCCGCGTAACTCGGACCATGGTGTTAAGAGAGAGGTCTTCTCATGTGTCTACAGAAGACAGTCCTTCATTTTATTAAACCGACTTCAGTTTGTCCAGGTATACACTGCATTGGTAGATAGCCCAGCGCTGAAATGATTATTATCACACGGAGGAAGTCCAGAATGTGATAGATTTCTGTTGTCCCAAAAAAGGGGATGATGTGGTGAGACCAGTTAGTCAAATCACATATGTCTACACAACAAGGCGCGCGCACTGGTACTCCGCAGCATTAATCACAGGCCAGCTCGAAGAGAGAGGTCCGGTAGGCGCGAAACACTTTGTGCCTTTGGTTGACCCTCGCTGCTAGAAAAGAATGAGAAGCACGGTGGGAGAAATGATAAACAGCTTGATCGAAGTCCGCATGGAATCGGTCGGGGGCAGGTAGTATGATGGAGCGAGGGAGCAAGCAAGCCGGGCGGAGCACGCAGGCAAGGTGGGAGGGTGGAAGGGAAGCTAAAGAAGCCCGACCCAACTTAAACCATTTGCAGCCTGACGCGCGCGGTGCGGTGCTGACAATAATGCCGGTCGTATCCCGCCGCCGCCGCCGCCGCCGCCCGCGGCTTGCAGCATTTGATAGTTATCAAGTGTGTACTAGGTACTGTACTCTGTACTCTCTACTCTGTACATTGGCATGCTCTACTTCCTACGCCGGTACGCGACACCAACCACCTTATTCGAGCAAGATGGTCTCTCCAGTGCAACCCTTAAAGTCTCTGAGAGACTCACAAGTTGTTGTCGATACCTACCGCCAGTTGTATCGTCACGGGCTGAAAGCCGTAAATTATTCGACGCCAGCTCGATACGTCCTTCTGCATACTCTACGCTCCTCCTTCCGATCGTCACCTCCAGAGAGCCTGGACCAAAAACGAGTCGCCAATACTATTCAATTCCTCCAGAGAGCAGCGGAAGCCGCAGGTCTGGAACACAAGATTGTGAAGAACATGATGATCATGAAATACTGGCAAAATCCCCAAATAAGGCGAGAGCTCCGAACGTGAGTTTGCATTCATTTCGGTATGAGATTGGAATGTTGTCTCTGACCCTACCTAGTATCAAAGGCTTAGGGGTCGAGCCCCATGATCCTAAACTCAAGGAGGACGCCTGGCAGCAATACAATTTGACCTTGAAGCTCCTGAACGAGAGCTTGGGGACTTGCCTCGTATAAAAGGTCTACTTCGATGTCGTGAAGGACTCATCTGGACCACAACCCATCAACTCCATGGCAACAATACTACCTCAAAGGTTTCGGGCACTATCGTCCGTAGGTCCTCTGTGTGCCATCACTTATGGGTTAACCGGACTCATGCTTCCCGCCTTGACATAAAAAGAACGACAACCTCTCGTCGCAGCCCCTGTCTCTGAAAACTGCTCACTCTACAGATACACTGGCAATTACAAGGCTAGGCTATGGCCGGGCTCCGAGGTATCATCAGAATGGCTCTCTCAAGCCGGTGGATGGTTACGGCCATAATGAGTCCTGACCTGATAGGAAAGTAAGACACAAGTCTCAGCTACATACGTATCGTGGCCAAAGGTGTCAAGATGGAGAGATCACGGTATTCACGAAGCTGATGGTTCATTTTGCCAACCTTCTGGGTTGTCCCGCATGGAAGTTTGTCATCGAACTTTACCACCACACATGCTGGCAAGCATATTACTGAGCAGATTACTTCGATGGCCGAAGTACATCTCTGGATGCAGCAGACTCAAGTGTATGTACCGTCCAGATTCTATTGTTTGCTTGACCCCTTAAACCGCCTGCGGTAGGGCATCAAAGGTACAGCCGCCGTGCGGCACCTGCCAGTTCAATACCAATAAACCAAAGAATATAGGGAATATATAGTGCAGAGAGTAAGAGCATCCCGAACGCACCGTATCTATATGCCACCATGTGATATAATCCAGCCGTTGGAAATTGGCCTGAGGTTGGGGAAGATGCAGATAGCATCGCTGAGATCATTTGTTGTGTATTAAAAAATTGCGGAACGAGTCCCAGTGATCGGAATCCGCGTAACTAGGTTAATTATTAGCGTCACACAAGGCAGGCGAGAGAGCAAGAGTCAGAGCATACATGTACACCATGCTACTCCGCAGACTTGACATCAATGTATCTGGATGCCAACGGAAGATGTACATAACAAGTGCCCAGGATAAGCTGGCAAAGACCGGCCAGGCATGGCTTTCCATCTGACTTCGCGTTTGCGGAGTGATGAGAGAGGAGAGCGGGTGCATATCTGGACGAATGGCAAGTTTGGCTAACGCAAGTACCACACGAGCAAAGATATAGATCACAATCTCGCAGAATTGTCAGTGGACGATCGAGGTGTTTGAGTACCCAGCGATTTACCTGTTGAGTGATACTCGTTTTATGCCGACCAAAGACTGCATAGCCTCCTAGCAAGCCAGCAAAAAAGCTATCGTATCGTCCTTCTTTGCCAACAGCAACCGGATTGATATTACGCAGCAAGATCATTGAGCCCTTGTAGATCAGCGCAAAGGTGGCAAGGTTCCGAGCATGTTGGCGCGTGGCTTTAAAGACAAGCTTGACTTTCTCACGGAAGCTGTGTCATGATCAGCATGATTGATCTATGTTTCTTGAGAGAAAGACTGGATTGCCATACGTTCCTGAGCGAAAAAGCAAGATCATCCTATGGGCGACGAGCACATCGAGTCAGCCTGGCTTTTTACAATAGAGGGGCCCAAATATCTGGATTCCGAGGGAACATACACCAGAGCATGCGGAAAGCGGACCTTGGCCCCATAGACAGCGCCATTGCGAATGCCCTTAAGGAGGGACAGAAGCGGCGCAAGCTCAGGATTAGTGACCAGAGCATCCAGCGAGGCCTACAAAGTGGTTAGAACAACATAAATCCTGCGTGGTGTTGGGTTCGACAGAGTGCGACCTTACTGTGAGAGCATCCATCGTGCTTGTTTCAAGAACCTCGGCAAAGTAAATGAATTTAGTGAAGCGATCAGTCTTGCTTCCTCCGGCAAGATTCAATAGGGAAACTGCAAATCATGGAGACTCCAAGGTTCACAAGCAACAAAGAAAGCTGCGCCAAACTCAGACAACATCTAAAGTACCAGTTCGGGGTAAAGTGGGGGAGTACGGCATTTATGGGAGCTGTGATGATCCGCGAGGCCAGAGACGAGATCCTCGGCATGTGAGAGACGAGCCGAGCGCAACGTCATGGTCACGTGGGCAGAATCCAGCCCCTACTTTTACATTTGCACGAGAGCAACTTGATAATTCAAATTCAAGAAAGCAGGGTTGGGACTGATAGAACTTTTTTATTTGCAAACGTCTATGTAACAAACACGTATCGAACAGGTTCAAATATGAGCTAGGTGCTGAAAACCGAACCCCCAGAAACGCCTCGTGCGCAGTTTAGATAGATATAATAATTCGGAAAGAATCAAATTGCATGACAATGCATTTCAACACGAGCTTCATGCCGTCTTAGCTCTCTTGCGTCCTTCATCCTCCGAGATCTCATCCACGTCCATCATGTCCTGATCCTCATCGTCATCCGACTCCACACCTGCACGGCGCTTCAATCCCTTCATTTTCCGAGTCTGCAAGCCGCTGAGATCCTGCTTGCCCAGGTGAACACGACCGATCTTGTCACCAATCGAATCCATGCTGATGTTCTTCTTCATCTTGATCTCCTCGTTGGGCCTCTTGCCTTGCTTCATAGCCTCCTTCATCGCATCCCGAGGGGCCTCCTGCAGACGTCCAACCTTGAAGTCGAACTTGGGCCCAATCTCCTCCAGCTCCACCCGCGGGAGCTTGTGGCCACTACGCTTCGTCCGGAGCTTATACCACCGCAAGTGAACAACAGGAGCCAACCCTTCAGTGGGCTCCTCAGCACCGATCATCAAAATATATTGGAGCCCCTCCACGTCAATCTTGTCACTCGTCTCACCCTTGAACAGGTCCAGGAACATACTCTTCAGCATGACATGTGCCATTGAGGTTGAGTCTTCCCAAGAACTGCCTGAGAAGAGGATCATGGGCCGCAATCCGATGCCGATATGCATAGCCAGATCAGTATGTTGCTCAGCGTCGGGGTGCGGCAGTAGCATCAATTCGCACATGTCAAGGATCTTGGAATCGAATACACGTGCCATAGTGATACAGTTGGGTCGTTTCTTGTTGCTGCTACCGAACACCACAAGACCACATTCGTTTTTGTTGGCCAGAAATTCGAGACTTTCGACGCTCTCAAACGGGTGAATGTTCTCGTTCTTCTTGTGAAATAGGACTGAATCCGGTCTTGTCAAGGAATGGAAGGTCTTCAGAACAGTGTGTAAAGCTTGCGGACATTTTGAGCCGTGCAGCAACAGCGTGCGCTTGGGGGGTTCGATGAGCTGAGGTTCTTTGGCCTTCAGGATGCGCGCTGTGCGCGCATTCTTCGGTTTTCTGAAGCGATAGAGATTTTATTGTAAGCATGGTGACTTGAACAATGCCAAACGTAGTCGGAAGGAAGTGATTATATGACTTACACTTCTCTGAGCATCTTGACCGATTCTGAACACCAAAAAACCTGGTTTAACGTGATATGGGGTCACTGATCGGGCTCGTGAAAACGAAAAGAAAAAGGCGGAGTGAAAAGTTTTGGCGGAAAGGGTCTTGGCGCCGCTTATCGATAAGATTAATGCCATGAGTCTCCGTACATACACACCTTCCCCAACGTAATAATGTGTTACTATAAGATTTTTCATTTACTACACGAGTCTTGATCTACGAGCAGTAATTATTGGTCATACTAAAATCTGAGTGAAACATCACATTGGCCAGTACAAAAATATCTGATATAAATAGTTTCAGGCCGCGAGATCTACTCTAGCCGCAGCTTCTCAAACTCACGGATCTGTTCCTCTAGACGAGTCATTTCACTCTCAGCATCACGCAGTTTCTTTTCTTCAGCCTCGCGCACTTCAGGCTTGGCCTTCTCCTGCCATCCAGCACCGCTGATGAGCTTCTGCTGGCGACGCACTGTCTCGCGTGCCTTCTCCAGACTAGCCTTGGCCTTCTCTTCCTGCTCCAAGGCAACTCCCTTGGAAACACGGAGATAGACAGCTGCTTCAGAGCTCACAGGAGCGACCACACAGCCTGAAGGGGGGTTGGTATTCTCCGGGCCGAGCACACTAAGCTCGCCCAGGGTCTTGCCACCCAGGGACTTGATGCTAGTAAGCTCATCCGAGACGGTCTTGTAGCTGGTGGCATCGTAGGTCTGGATGATGATGTCGCCCTTGGTCTTGATCTCATACTGGGCGAGGATCGACCGAATAGACTTCGAGGCATTCAAAATCAGCTCATAGGCAGTCTCAGCCTCGGGATCCTCGAATTCAGGTCTATATTCGGGGTACTTGGCCTTCATGATCGAAATTGTGCTATCTTCGGGACGACGAGGCAGGCGCTGCCACAGGTGCTCAGTGACGAAGGGCATCATTGGGTGGATCAAAGTCAGAGCCCCCTCAAGAGCGGTGTAGAGCGTCTCCTTGGCCGACTGCTGCACTTCAGCCGGGACTTCGGGCGCAAGCAGGAACTTGGAGTTTTCAATGAAAACGTCACAAAGTTGGCCGTACCAGTATTGGTAAGCAATGGATGCCGAAGCAGAGAATTCACGCTGCTCAAGAGCCTCATTCATCTCCTTAGCAGCAGCGTTAAACTTGTGCAAGATCCAGCGTTCCGCAAGGGACTCCTTGCCAGTCTTTGTAGGGGTCGGCCGAGGCTTGAAGTCATCGCCCAACTTGCCAAGCACAAACTTCGTGGCTTGGTAGATCTTGTTACAGAATCGACGATAACCATGGATGACCTGGATGTCGAAGGCAATATCACCACCTGATATGGCACCGTCAGTATAGAAGACAATAGGCTGGACAGAGTGGAATCCATTGTTGGGAGGTTTTACTTACCGCCAGTAGTGTAGGACACAAGGGCAAAACGCAGGGCATCAGCACCGCACTCAGGAATACCCTTGGGGAAGGCCTTCTTCTGGTACTTGGTAGCAGTGGCCACCTCTTTGTCGGCAAGGTTGCCAGTGAGCAATTTGGCATGAAGATCATCCAGCTTGATACCTTCCATGACGTCGAGAGGATCAATGACATTGCCCAGAGACTTGGACATCTTGCGACCCTCAGAATCTCTGATCAGGGAGTGGCAGTACACCTCCTTGAAAGGGACCTTGCCGGTCATCTTAAGACCCAGCATGATCATTCGAGCCACCCAGAAGAAGAGAATATCCCAGCCGGTCTCCAAAACGGAGGTCGGGTACAAATGCTCCAGATCATGTGTCTGACGGGGCCAGCCCAGGGTAGAGAACGGCCATAATCCGGAGGAGAACCAAGTGTCAAGAACATCGGGATCTCTCACCAAAGTGAAGCTCTTACCGGGGAATTTAGCCGCCGCCTTCTCCCGAGCCGCCTCTTCCGTGCGACCAGTAACCCAGAGATTCTCGTCACTGTCATCACCTTCCTCGCCTTCAATCTTCACGAAGTAGGCGGGAGCCTGGTGACCCCACCAAAGCTGTCTGGACAGACACCAATCGTTGATGTTGTTCAACCAGCGGAAATAGCTCTTCTCAGCGGATTCCGGTCTGATGATGATTTCACCGCTTTCAACGGCCGTGATGGCAGGTTCGGCGAGATCCTTCATCTTCATCCACCACTGAGGCTTGAGGATAGGCTCAATGACATCGTTGGACTTAGCGCAGCGAGGAATCTTCATGGGGTTGTGCTCCCACTTGACATAAAGTCCCTTCTCTTTGAGCATCTCAATGACCTTGTAGCGGGCGTCAAAGCGCTTCATTCCGGCAAAAGGACCACCCTTGCTGTTGAAGGTACCGTCATCGTTCAGGACGGAGATGAACTCAAGATTATGGGCCTTTCCGCGGTTGAAATCGTTGAAATCATGAGCTGGGGTGATCTTGACTGCTCCGGTACCGAATTCAGGGTCGACGTCCGTGTCGGCGACAATAGGCATCAAGCGATCCACGAAGGGGTGGCGGGCAAACTTGCCGATCAAGTGCTGGTAGCGCTTATCATCAGGGTGCACAGCGATACCGCTATCACCGATCATGGTCTCGGGACGAGTAGTGGCGATCTGAATCCGTTCGTCGGTTTCATCGATTTCGTAGCAGAAGTGAGTCAAAACACCAAACTCAACCTTCTTTTCGTAGCCGGGAACATCGAGAAGGGTACGACCCTCGACCTCCTTGTTCTCAACCTCAAGGTTAGAGAGGGAGGTGTTCATGGCCACACACCAGTTAACCAGCCGGTTGGCACGGTAAATGACACCCTCTTCGTGAAGGCGGACAAAAGTTTCCGTGACAGCTGCAGATAGGTTGGGGTCCATTGTGAAGGCCTCGCGAGTCCAGTCGAAGGAGCCGCCGACTCTCCGCAGCGCGTTCTTGATGTTGGCGTGGTACTGATCCTTCCAGGCCCAGACGCGCTCGACCATTGCCTCACGGCCGAGATCATGACGGGTCTTCTTCTCCAGCTTCCAAAGCATCTTCTCAACCACGCTCTGGGTAGATATACCAGCATGGTCCATACCTGGCAGCCACAGGGTGGTCTTGCCCTTCATACGCTGCCAGCGGATCATGGTATCCTGGAGCGCATTGGTGAGAGCGTGACCCATGTGAAGAGCACCTGTCACATTAGGGGGGGGGATTGGAATGACGAAGTAGCCTTCCGGCTTGACCTTGCCATCAGGGCCAAATTCAGGCAAGAAGAGGCCACGCTCTTCCCACCATTCATAGCGACCTTCCTCGATCGCCTTGGGATCGTAGGCGTCTGTGGTCTTCTCCTTCTCGATCTTGGCTTTCTTCTCAGCCTTGGGCGCAGCAGGCTTAGCCGCGGCCTTAGCCTGTTTCTCTGCGAACTTCTTGGCTTTCTCGGCCTTACGGCGCTCGCGCTCCACTGCAACGATCCAGAGATTAAGTCATTATCAATCGAGATAGGCGGGGGTGGCAATCGCATATTGTGCGGAGACTGTCATGCTGTACGTACATTCCTTCTCGCTCTTCACCTTGGGGGGTGCAGATGGGTCCTGTCCTTCGACAACAGGCTTGGAGGCAGCAGCGGCATCTTGGTTTCTCATTTGTTCGTCGGCCTGGGGGGGAACGTCGGCGACGGGAGCTTTAGGCTCACCAGCTAGAGTACCATCAAATGGTCAGCCACAGTCCAAACAGCAGTCTAGAAGCTTGACACGGCGGGACAGAGACGGATAGCCGCAACATACTCGGGTTCTGGGGGGCAGAAGGTTGGGCCATTCTGGAAAAAGGTCGTGAAGACAAGAAGGGAGGAGGAATTCTCCGAGGCGCCACTCGCGCCACTAACTGACGGAATAGTATCTTGACCACCGAGTGACTCACGCAAACACGGCGATGAAGAGGAAGACAAGGAGGGGGAGGGGTTCGGGTGGTTGTGCGAATGCGGGCAATTAAATTTCCTGGCTCAGAGCAAAGGAACGGAACGAATCAGAGGAAGCCGGGACTGGCGGGGCTTTCAGTTGGAACCTCAGTGGATTCAATTTGGCGGGCGGTGGAGTCGAGATCGGGCAGTTCAATGCAATGTACGTACCGTATGTATGAGTATGTATACTAGTACTCAGTATGATTCTTCAAAATTGACTAGATCAAACACTTGAGCACTTGGAAATTTAGTTTTCCTGTTTCACTCGCGGGAGGATGAGGGATAGAATTGTTTTCTTGTGACGTGAGTCATATCACGTGAAGAGGTTAAGTATATCTAATCATCACAATAGCCTATTAGGTAGCCTGTCAACTACATCTTACAGAGTGTTTGAAGCAGCCATACTTTCTAAAAAGGACTGCTGCATACATCAATTACTCTGTGCAGACTCAGTCTCTCCCTGGGGAAAGCTTCAGACTCAAGGCTCCCACCCTAGCAATGCAGTACGAGGCAAGTAGACTGTTGACCATCTCAAACACATGAAACTGGATCACACTCCTCTCAATGATGTATCAGACTAGAATTGGCATACATATGGTAAACGAAGCTGAAGCATGGCGAGTGATCACAATTGGAAAAGAAATTTGCCAAGGCAAACCAACAAGCAGGGTTCCCATCAACACCAGTCCAACTAACCACAAGGACGACTGAGAAAGGTGAAAGACTGCAGTAAACCGGCGCAGGAGAATGTAGGCAAGGTTACGCAAGGATAACGTTAGGAGTGGTGACCCTCCTCTAAGCACCGTTCGACAGATTTTACTCACTGGGTATGCCAAGAGGATCAAGCAGAGATATATTAGGTGTATGTCATCTGTTCATCGTCGTCGTCTCCGAATTCAACAACTCATTGCAACCGCAGCGCTTCAATTCATGCACGCGTAACGCATCAGTCCAAAGCTGCACAGCCCTTCTGTCATGACTCTTCTGAATTGACTCCACCAACTCTCTGGAACACAGAATGAATTTTGGCACTGGAGAGGTTGTCACCCCATTGATGTAGGGTGTACCGGCAGAGCGAGTATCAGGTAGAAAGGGAGAAAGTCAGGGTAGATCTAAATCAGGCGCGTTCGACCTTCATGCTAAGAACTATGCTGTATTGTTGTTCCGTGCAGCCTGGGACTCAGCAGCCCGAACGGGAGCAAAATACGGATGGGCCATCGCTTCTTGAGCAGTGAGGCGTTCCTAGACAAATAATATCAGCTTTGCGCCATGCAAACTTCACATAGCAGAGTGCATACCGCATGATCGTATCGAAGCAGCTTGTCCAAAAAGTCAATCGCTTCGTCGCTGACGAAGCGCTGGTTCTCGGCGTTGACAAAGGTGTGCCAAGGCTTCCGAGGGAAGCGCGAGAGGAGATCATCATACTGGGGATCCAATTCAATCTCATACTTGTCCAGATATTCAAAGAGCTCTTCGGTTCCAAGAACCTTGGCGATCTTCACCAGCTGATCAGAATTGCTGTTTCCGTGAAAGAAGGGCTCCTTGCGGAAAATCATGGATGCAAACATCGCGCCCAGCGACCACATATCCAGAGAGTAGTCATATTCCTGGAAATCAACAAGTAGCTCAGGACCCTTGAAGTATCTGGAAGCAACACGGACGTTATACTCCGTGCCCTTGTGATAAAATTCAGCCAGACCCCAATCGATGAGGCGAAGCTAGGCATCATCAGCAGAAGAATAGATATGAGGCGTTCAGGACCACTAACCTTGCGCTTTTCATGATCGATCATGACATTGTGAGGCTTCACATCACGGTGCATGATACCCTTGCTGTGGCAGAAATCCAGAGCCTTCAAGAGTTCGTAAACGTAGAAGCGGACATCGTAGTCGGAGAATCGTGGGTAAAGAGTCCGGAAGTCGGTATTATTGACATTCTCAAAGACCAGACTCGGTGTCTTGCTTTGGCTGTCTCGGACGACGTCTAACAGAGCTACCACATTGGGCCCACCTGCCAGATTCTGAAGGATCTTGATTTCACGCTTGATCTTCTTCTTCTTGACTGGCTTGAGGACTTTGATGACACACTTCTGGTAGTTGACAACATTGATACCTTCAAACACCTCAGAGTACTTGCCGCGTCCTGCAAGAAAGGAAGTGTCAGTCCACATCTCCCACGATGAACCCCGCTGGGATGACCCCGTCGATGGAGGTTGAATATTGAAGCGTGATTTCGCCCTTACCGATCTTGCGGACCACCTCGTAATTCTCCAAAACACCCCAGGAGATGTTCACACTATCATAGTCCCAGTAGGACCGGGGCATATGCTCATTGACATCAGCATAAACGCGCGCCATGATTGATGGCGACGGGGCGATCAGCTTTCGAGGTCAGCCCACAGTCGGATGGCAATGATAAAATGCGGCGGGGTAGGGAGGGGACCGAGGGAAGAAGGATGATGGGGGGCAGGGCGCGGCGACAGGATAGGAATCGGAAGGACAGACAACAGCAGCCGCGAGACTAGGAGGCCAACAACCCGTCTGAATTGCGCAGCCGTGCTATCGTCCAGAGCAGCCAAAGCACAGGGTAGTATACTAGTAATATTATGGGTGGTTGATCAGAAAGGCCGAGAGCGTTTCGCTCCGCCTTCAGGGTCACGAGACTTGCTTGTCCTATGGGTGACTCGGGCAGCTGCCGGCCTCGGCAGAATATTGATGCGGTATGATCTTCAGATGCCCATGCTAGGACAGCTCGCAAAAGCACACTGTATGGAACTTCGATCACAACTCGTGTCGTTCGGGGTAAAAGTGAGATTTCGACTCAAACGCAGGGTGCCACTTTGTCGCAATCATGTTTTACGATCTGAATGTGCCCTATAGCCCGGGTGATCCCGAAATTGTTCATACTCTGAACTTCCTTGCAGAACGTGCGTGTCCCTCTCCCCCCAAAAAGGCACGAGACCAGCGCAGCATACTGCGCATTTTTTTCAAAGAGCCACATGAAGAGCTGACCTGACTCTCAGTCGGCTACACCACGGTTGCACTGTCGGAGACGATCAATGGGAAATTGCCTCCAAGCCTGACTGCCCCATCTGCTCCAAAAGATGCTCCCCGGAATCTGGTGCTTCTTAGCCGCCTGAATCTGACCCTCTCTGACCCTGCGCAAAACCAACGACTTGCCAGCCTGACTCAGACCTATGATCTTGTCGCTCTCCGCCCAACAAATGAGAAAGCCCTACTTAACGCGTGCACCAATCTGGAGTGTGATATCATCTCCCTGGATTTCTCCGTCCGTCTACCGTTCCATATCAAATTCAAAATGGTTTCCGCGGCTGTCTCGCGTGGGATTCGCTTCGAGATCTGTTACGGCCCGGGTGTTACGGGTAGTGGTATTGAAGCTCGACGTAATCTAATTGGCAATGCTATGGGTCTGATACGAGCAACACGTGGCCGAGGTATCATCGTTTCAAGTGAAGCGCGGAAGGCTCTGGGCGTGCGGGCTCCGTGGGATGTGATCAATCTTGCCTGCGTCTGGGGCTTGTCGCAAGAACGCGGAAAAGAGGCAGTCTGCGAAGAGGCTAGGAAAGTGACCGCCTTGGCCAAATTGAAACGAACAAGCTGGCGTGGGATCGTCGACATTGTTGATGGGGGAAGTAACTCAGCTGCCAAAGCCACAGGACCGTCATCTAAACCGAAGGAATCTGCGCAGGTCAGAGCCGATGGATTGAAAAGAAAAGCATCGCTTGGCTCTGAGGCAGCAACCGAGGAGATTGAAAAGCCACTATCAAAACGGGAGATGAAGCGCAGGGCTAAGAAAGCTCGGTTAGAGGCGTTTGGCGGCGATAGCAGTGCTAATGGTACGCCGGCTACTTGAGCGGGAAATTTTCCAACCTTTCTCTTCTTGTTCCCAAATGCCTGTCGCGAGGGGATTGACAGACATCTGTCGAGGGCCCTGCCGTGCCGGAACATAGAGCCGAGCCGCACGGCCATCGCTCCGGAATAGCAGCGCGTCACGGGTAATACCTTGTCACAGGGATTTTCCAAGACCAAACCGCACACTAGCCAAGTGCAGCGATCTCCTTCGAGTCTCTAGGGACTTGTGTTGATGGCCGCAAAACCTGCGCTGAGATAAGCAGTGTGCGGGTGACCGAAGCCTGCCGCCTCCATTACCCTCTGCCAAGCATGAATACCTTTGGTGACGGTGCAGTGAGTCGATCCGTTCACGGGGACAGTGATCAACTTCATGAGACTTGACTGCAATCATCGACATTTCTGTAGACAATGAGACCAATGATGGCCATTGGATGGCATTGTGGACTTTCATACCGAGTGCAAGAAGCGCACTCTTCGGACTTCTATCATATGAATTTAGACTTAACGCAAAGACCTTAAGATGAACACATAAGACTAACCCAACCCTACTGGACTGCGTGCCCAGCTCACCATTATCTAAGAGAGTGCCATCTATGCGCAAAATCCCCGAAGCTGTGGGCCCAGCTCAACCTTTGACATATACATCCTTCCGATATGCCACTCTAAACCCGGTCTTTTCTGCATTTCTGGCGCTTCCACTGCCTTCCCTCGTACTCAGCGTCACCAGCTTCAACCCCATGCCTCTGGCAGCCCTCAAACGCGCCTGTATGAGTGCCACATGGGCACCCATCCCGCGAGACAGCGGCACTGTACTATCCAAGTACAAATGCCCGATGCTCTCGCCGGCTGTATGCGTACCCAGGACGGCCAATGCCGCGGTGCCGACCACTTCTCCGGCGTCCGTCGTCGCGATGTAGAGTCTCGTATCAGCTCTCAGGGCCGCGATCCTCGCTAAGGCGCCCAGCAGCTCCTCCGAGCGTCCCCCATCCGCGAAACCCGCGATGGAAACGGCGACGAAGTGCTCGCGATCGACATCCGAAGCCACCTCCCTGACCGTGATATTCTTCCTCTTAGGGTGACCCTTCCGCGCGACGACCGGTTCATCTGAATTCTCCAGGTCCCTGCAATAGACACTCAGCCTCCCCTTGGAGAAATACCTGGCACGAGTGAGAATCTGCCCTGCGGAAGGGTCTGCGTACTCGCACAGATGGATTTCCGGAGACAGACCGATTGCGGCGTAAGTTGACTCGAGATTGCAGAGATCCTGCGATGTGAAGGAGCCTTGGAGCCCTAGCCCAACGATGCGGCTTAGCTTGCCCTCGAATCGGGGGACAGTACGGATGGCGACGCCTCCGGCTACACTCTGGTGCTGAATCAGGACATCGCAGGACGGGTACAGTGTCTGTACCGCTTCAACTTGGCGCACGACGTGTGTCTCCTCTGCCTGCTCGATTCGTACAACAAGGCTGGGCGGTGGGGTGGCGAGTGTCATATTGGAACTATGGTATATGTTCCTTCCAAGCCATGCATAGATCGTGTTATGCCGCTGCAGATTTCAGCTGGGAGAGTCAAGTAAGCCGTCTAATCTAGAATTCCTGACTCGGACAAAGAACATGCACTACAGGAATAAATTAAATATCGGAGTCATGGATTCACAAAACCTCAGACCCCTCTCATGACTCACACTCACCTTCAACCTAGTTCCCTAACCAATCATGTTTATCGTAGTCAGCACAAATTAGCAACAACATAACGTGTCTACTGCTTAGTAGTGTACACAGCACATATACCCTTCCAAGGTGAAAGCATCAAACTCTAGCTAACCCCACCCCCAAAGCCTACCACATCAATCAATCACGATCACCCCGCGACATCCCTCCAATAACCTGCATCGCAACTTCCTCCTTGCCCTCCGGCACGAAGACATGATCATGGTAAAACCCACTGACCACATTGGCACTGACCCCGGCATCGCGGAGTCGTGCGCTAATGGTAGCGATTAGACCCACTGCCTCAAGACTCGAGTGCACGCTGAGGGAGATCATCCGACACGGAAACACGTAGTCGGTGAAGCCGTGCGCGATGGCCTTCTCGCGCACGATGACGAGTGTGGTACCTTCTGCCTCCTGGAAGAGAAGTTGTGGCTGTAGTGCTTGCACATCTTGGCTCGCCGCAGAGACTGGGGCGTTGAGAAGTGTGAGGAAGACGAATGTGTCCGGATGGAGGATGGGCTCGAGTTTGGAAAGAAGTATCTCGAGATCTGCTTCACCGGGAGCCATTGTGGGGGTGGTGGTTGTGGTCGTCGTCGTCGTCGTCGCGTTCACAGAGACTAATGGGTGTGCTCCCGTAGTGGCTCTGGGGTGAAAATGGATAGTTGGAGCTACCGGCACTTGCTGGTTGATACCTGATACCCGATGTTTACATATTCGGGTTGTTGACTCAATGTACCAATGGGTAACTACGTTAGATTGGTCGCTAGTAATGGGTGAGTAAGCGAGAGAAACCTCAAGTTTTGACTAATAATACATTTTAAAACTTTATCTGTGTATTCCGTATTGATTAAACACCTCAAACCTAATTATCTACAGGTAGAAGAGCTGCTAGACTTAAATGTCATCAGTATTATGATTATCAAGAGCACTGCGAGTATACACTATTTACCCACTGGTATCTATAGAGACAATCATCGTGTCTCATGTCCGTAAAAGCAGCATAAGAGGGTATGAATGCGAGGCCATGGAAAATGAAACCCACCCAGCTTCACCAGCAGAAAATGTTCCTTGCAGAAAATTGATGCGCGTCAAGTCATCACAGGTCGTTAGACAGGCAAACATACCTGCTATCAAGATGCTTCCTCAAATTCAACCAAGACTCTCAGGTCGCCGTCCATCCAATCCACATTTCCCGCGGACAGGAGTGCAATGGTCCAGTCGCCGTCATTTTGTACCGTTGCTAATCCATCTGGTAGCCATACCTTGAACTTCCAGTTGATCCCTGCGACCCAGCCGCTAGCGGAGTCCAAGCCTGGCTCAGATGATAATCCCGGCAGCTGACCCGAAAACCGGCGGAAGATCACTTGCTTGAGCGTCTCGAGGTCAGGGCACTGGCTGCCAGGCAGATCAAGTCGGGAATGTGTGCGTTTGCCGTCCTGGATAAGATTGATACGGAGAGAGACAGACATGGGCGACGAAGGTGGCCTGACATTGCTGGCGGCAGAGGCAGCTCCAGGGATCGGTGGTAAATTGGAAGGCGGGAAGTGCTGAGGTTGTGACACAGACGTCTGATCGTGGGATGTAGCATGCGGTTCGTGCTTCACAGCAAGATTGTCGCGGATGATGCGCGAGACGTCGCGAGTAATGCTACTTGCACTGTGGACACCTGTTAGCATGGTGCGATAATGAAAGAAGTGAGACGCGTCGGGCGACGTACAATTCGTTCCTCGCGGGCTGTGGAATATTACCACCAATCCGCCACCGTAAGTCGGAAGTAACATTAGCCTCTAATATACGTTGTATATTGTCATCTTCACACTGTGGAGGACATTCATAGCCACCATTGTGAATGACTTGATAATGGCTATCGACGGCAGCCACCAAGCCCCGCCAGTCCGGTTGCTGTAGGCCCGACAAATACCAGAGATTGTCGAGTTCGCAGTTCTGGTTGTAATTGTCATAGGACTTAGCGAATGCATTCCAGTCGGTTGTGTATCCGTCAAGCAGAAGCTCTGTTAGGCCCAAATCCACGGCCTGCGAGGTGGAACCCATGGGTGGCTGCGACGCTGACATCGGGGTCTGCATTGCAGTATAATCATCGTGAATCTGATGATGTTGCTGTTGCTGTTGCTGATGCTGATGCTGAGAATGAAGTTGTAGATGGTCCTCAGTTGGCGTGTGCGCATTGAAGTTTTGCAGGCTGTCCTCGGTCTTCCGTCGCCGTCGCTCCTCCGCTCCGCCGCCTTTCCTCGTCTCGACAGCATACTGACGCTGTCGCTCGTTCGTCACCATTCGCCGCAACAAGGGTATCACCAGTGAAATAATTTTCTGTTGATCCCGAGGCCAGATGTATGCCCTAGGCCCCATGCCTTCATTGACCACATCTTCTCCAAAGAACCGCTCGCCATGACCCTCACCCTCGAGAAAATGACGTACGCAGTTCCATAGCCGCAGCTTGACCATCTCTGTATCCCCCTTGCCGCGTTGACCTACACAGTCACGGCGTTCAGGATGACGATCATCAAGCATGTAAGCTTTAGCTGCTGCCTGAAGATGCAAAAAGTTTTCTGGAGAAAGCTCGAGGGAGGAGAACAATTTGGACATGGGTGGACGAGTGTATTTCTTGTTGCTGGAGGGCTGGCGAAAGAGAGCGGCTGCCGAGTGCAAGCCCACCGCCCGAGCTTCAGATAGTGATTGTGGCGGGGCGCCTCGAAGATCTAGCCCATCACCACCGTAATGATGCGGATGTTGCTGCTGTTGCTGCTGTTGTTGTGGGTGGTGACTATGGTGGTGTGATTGCTGGTCCCCTGCTAGGCCGACATGGCCCCCTCCTGTCAATGCGGGATCAAGCGCATCTTCGTTTCTCTTCCTCTTCTTCGTGCCAACTCGGGTCAACCCAGAGTTTTGAGCGTGTTCATTCACCGGAGCTGATCCGGGTCCTCGCAGAGCCCGTCCGCCATTGATCCCAGCGGTAAAACTTGTGTCTGCAAAGCTGTCATCATCCATATGTATGTCCGGCCCATAGCCCTCCAGGTGATGTGTATTGCCAGCCGCCCCAGCTGCAGCGGCGACTGCAGCGGCCGCAGCCCATTCCGAGACGTCTTGTCCTGCAGCCGCTGTGGCAGCCTCCACCAACCCAGCTAATTGATTTTCACTAGGCGCATACCCACTCGTTGCAAGGTGCGTGTTTGGGTCGACATTCGACGCTGTGGTTGAGGTTGCTGTAAATTCGGCCGCCGACGTTGACGGCTGATGGTGGTTTGGGGTGGATGCCGAAGTCATGATGGCATATAAAGAGCGTAATTATATTTGCCGCTGTGGGCTCACAAAGCTTGTCCGACAGAACTGTATTGGTTGAGTTCCTTGGCGACAACTTATCACACGAACTGTAGCAAAGATCCGTAGGCAAGAGCGAAAGGCGTGCGCCGGTGACTTGATGGATTGGAGACGATGAAAACGATGATGCATACACAGCCTCGTATTTTCTTGTCGCAATTTGCTTCGAAGAAAGCGGGCCGTGATATAGTTGAATGCTAAGATTATGGGAGCAAAACCATAAGGATCCAGTATCAATACAACCGGAGCGTGGACACGCGCAGCGTCCTGGGTATTATGTTAGGAGGATCTGAATTTAAGGAGACCCTTGCGGGCAAGCTTAGCCCTGAGGGTAGTGGTGGCAGCCCAATAGCGCGCTGATACCCACGGGCCCGTCAAATGAATGGGAAGCTCAGCTCCCACTGGACTTTAAGCGTGCGCGACTCGCGATGATCGATGAAGCTATCCGGAAGGATGACGCTGTTTGGCTGGTTTGAAGGAAGGACAGACAGTGCAAACTCTGCAGGGAACGATGGACGGAGGCCGTCGCGACTGCCGCTCCGAGTTAGCGTGGGGGTGGAGCATCGAAGATCACCTGACTCTATCTCATATACCGTCACTATGCTACGTACTACTAGTCGCCATATGTATGACACTTATCCGTCCATTTATCATTGCATGCTCGCTCAACCTTAGGAGAAGTTCATTCTGTCTGCTGAAGATACTCCTTTTGCGGATCTGGCAATCTGGAGCCAGCCCAAGTGCACAGATCAATTGGCGCCGATTATACAAGTATTGGAACAACACGCTAACTATCTAACATGATTCGCCAGTATCCCAGAACCACATCAGTCAAAAAAATGTCAAAATAAATGAAGAGCAGATTATCGTATCCATGTCAGCACGTAATGAACCGCGCACCAAGGGTGATGCGGGTGATGACAGCATCAACATGCCGAGTATGTGTCAAATTAGAAACCATCTCCCTCTTTCCACATTCTCCCGACCTCCGCAGCTCGGGCTCTAGGATCCTGGCCTCGGTCGGTGGCATTGACGAATAGCTCGAGGATCAGTGCTTCTTCGAGCTCAAGCTGTTCTTCCAGAGTGATATCCTTTCCAGGCTCGGGAAAGTCTAATTGGCTTTCTTCGCCTAGATGCCCATGCATCCGAGTGAGTTCAATCAAGTCTGCCCTTACAGACCATCCCTGAAGTGCCTCCTCTAATTCGGATTTAGCTGTATTATGGTCGCGGAAATCATTATACTCGTCTTCACCGCCGAAGCAGATCCCAAATCCATCGCAGTAGCAGATATGTTCCTTGACACAAACAACATTCTCGCCGGTGAAAACGACCTGCCACAGATACTCCCAAATGCGACCGGAGATGTAGTCACTAAGCTCAGTCCGGAGCATCCAGTCGCGGAAAT